CGCCCAACATCGTCAAGAAGAAACACCCAACAATTATAACTTTGAAACAAATAAAATCGAAAAAAAAAAAAAAAACATCCTCTCCCTAAAAAAATCAGTGGTCTAATGAATTACACCAGTAAGAAAAGAACCTGATCCCGAGACTTGTCACCGACGATGACGAACATGGAGCGATATCTTGATTTGACACCATTCTCAATGAGAGTCCTGATACGCTCGTCTACTTTCTTCCTCATTCCTTGAGTAGTATTGTTGCGAAAGTTGTGCTGAGACTAGAGAGAGAGGTGGCCGCCTGCGTGTAGAGAGCGGTGGCCGCCGTGTAGAGAGCGGTGGCCGCCGTGTAGAGACCGCCTGCGTAGAGAGAGAGGGGTGCCGTGCCGACCGCCTGCGTAGAGAGAGGGAGTGTAGAGAGGGATGGCCACCGGCGCCTGCGCCTGCGTGTAGAGACCGTCTGCGCCTGCGCCTGCGTGTAGAGACCGTCTGCGCCTGCGTATAGGGTTTTGAAGGGAAGCGCCTGCGTGTAGGGTTTTAGGAAAATTTTTATTTCCTGTTTTTTTATTTTTCTCCATTGTTTAAATATAAATAATAATAATAATAACTCATAATAATTCCTCTAACATTTTATTCTTCATAATTTACTACTTTATTAATACCTAAAATTAAATTATTGTTTTTATGGTTCGTATTTTCATTATGCTATTATTTGATAGGGGATTTGAGTGACGTGCGTACCTCTCAATCTTTTCAAATATTATGTCATATTGTTTAAATATAAAAATAAAAAATAAAAATAATAACTCACGATAATTACGGTAGCATTTTATTGTAATAATTTATTATTTTATTATTTTGTTACGTTGTTATAATGCGTTGTTGTTGTAATCTGTTGTTATTGTTGTTATTGTAACCCACCCAACATCGTCAAGAAGAAATACCCAACAATTATAACTTTAAATAATAGATTGATCTGTACCTAGAAAATAATTAATTAATTTTATATTAAAAGATTCAGATTTATTTTTAATAGTTTTATGTATTAAATATAAAATAGATATTTTTTATTTGTATTCTGGAAAAATATTCACGGTAAATTAAATATATATAATTTAAACTATTGATAAATATATATTGAAATGTTTTATTTAAATATGATCTAATTAAAAAAATATTTTTTATTATATTATATATTAAAAGTTATTATTTTAAATACGAAGACATAAATCTTCTAATTTTTTAAATATTTAAGAGGTTTTTGAGTCCAGGAAGATAAAAGATCTCGAACACATTCAAGTCATAAGGATGTGAAAATCTCTCTCTAATAGAGACATGTGAAATGACGATAATAACGAACTAAAATCGATAATATCTTGATCATAACAAATAATGATATTGACATAATAAATTTAATGAATCGACGATACGTAGTGAACTAAAACAGATAATATATTGATTATAACAAAATAATGATATTGACATAATAACACTCTTGATCCAAAAACGAAAAAAAAAGTTGTAACTTATCATAATTGGCATGCTTTCCAAATAAAAGAGAAATTAACTTAATGTCTTGCCATATTTGAAACCAAATATTTTCATATAAATCTTCGATTAAAAATGAAAGTATCCTACACCTTTCAACCAAACAAACATATCAATTCAGTTTATCACTGCATTTTATAAGAGATGGCAAAGTTTTCTTGCTCCCGGTTCTTCATTGGTTTCCTCATTCTCTCAGGTTTGTTTTTTAGATTTATAAATATGTTATGAACTTTCAAGAATTTTGTACATTTTAGTTTATTATCATTTTGATTTTTGACAGCTGCATGCATGTTGTCGGTCAATGCAATACAATGTGAAGAGAAGTTGTACGAAGGATGCGTACCTAAAGACTGTAGCGAGAGATGTTTACAGAAGTTTCCCCAATCGACATCGGAATGTGTTCCAACTGGACAAATCCCATTTAACTATATTTGTTATTGTTTCCATGATTGCTAGAGGATAATCAATTATGGTTTCTATCACAGTCTCTATTAAATAAAACGGTTGAATATCTCCATGAATTCAACCAATCCCCCGTAACTATTTTATTTTTGCTTTTGTTGTTGCTTCCATGATCGCTAGAAAGTGATCAATTATGGTTTTTACCGATCTCCATTAAATAAAATGGTTGGATGAATCTATGATTCAACTTTTTTTTTTTAGCATAATTCTCGAACTTCTTGCCTGTCTTAATTCCAACTTTCATTGTCTTATTTGGACGGCTAACATGACCTACTACTTTTACAAAAGTTGGAAGTAGAGAAAGAGAAAATGTATATTCCGCCCCAATGTTTTTTAACTATTAAACTGCTAATTTCAATATAATTTAATTTATAAGCTACTAAATTGTTTTCTTACCAGTTTGGCGTTTCATAACTTATAACATCATTAGTGAAATACTTGATCAAATATAGTATCTTTGTTAGAAAGGAATATTATTATGAAATAGAATGTATGTAACCTATGGTTGTTATAGTAAATAATTGGACAATCTGATTCAACCCTTTCTCTTTACTCATCATCTTTATCTTTAATCATAAATGAAATTATTTGTGGATTCAATCCTATATTAACCTAAATTAGTTATTAATAAAAATAAATATTTTTTTATTTATAAAAAGAATGAGAGGAAATATATACGAAAATGAACTCCAACATAAGTAATTTGTAATTTAATGCAAAAATATTTTTTATTACAATTGGATAATGATTTGTGTTTGTTTTTTTTGTTATTCATATTTAAAGTTGTTGCATAAATAATACATTTTTTTAATTTACAAAACTCTTGATAATTTAAGATTTAAATAAGATCGGCCTTAAAATTTAAATAAAATATTTTTTTTAATGGATAATGGAGACCCAAAACTCTATTTTTTTATTAAATTATAAAATAATTATTTTATTATTAATAGTTATTAAATCACTTTTTTTATTATTATTATTTTTCAGGGAAGGTGGATTTCAGGGAAGGTGGATAATATATATTTATTATTATTATTATTATTTTTGACCGAAGGTGGATAATATATGTCTGGTTCTGTTAGTCGTACCTACCTATTTTACTATTTTACTCTTAAATTTTTATTAAATATCTATTCTGTCTTTACTCTGTGAATTGAGGTGTCATTGGAGAGAATTTATACTTTTTCCAATTTGGCACGATCCTAATATTTTCTGACATATGGTCACGTTACTTATTCATCGGTTGTAAGAGTGAATATTATTTCCACAAACCAACCCGAGTCATTCCAATATGTTTGATCTAACGCATTCTAAAAAAAATTATGAGAAGTTCACTCAACATGCAAAATACACTATCGTTTTAATTGATAAATTTTAATTTTTGTAAGCTTTTTTTAACCTTCTATACTAAAGGTTATTTTCATCTGGACATATTATTGATCCATTCATTTACTCCTTTATTCGGGTGTCACAATCTTTAATAGTTGTAATTTATACTAACATACATACTACTCTGGTCTAGGTAGTTAAGGTCATGCCATGAAAAGATTAGTTAACTTTCGTGTCGAGTTTGAAGTACCATGATTGGCCTACTTTGCAATGAAGATATAAAATTTATTGAGTCACCATATTTGTCAAACAAAATGTATATATAAATACAGACTCTACAAATGTCAAATGAGCAAATTAAGTATACATTCAAACACATAAATTTAGTATATTATAACACTGATATTTTAGGAGATAGCGAACTTCTCTTGCTCTCTCTTTGTTCTTGTCCTAGTTCTCTCAGGTACGTATGGTTGTTTAGATGCGTTTAAGTTTTGTGTTGTAAGCTTGGATGGGTATTAAAGTATGTATAACTTTGAAATTTTGTGCAGCTAATTGTATGGTACTTCTAGAAATCCACACAAAACAATGTGATGTGAAGATGTTCGAATATGCATGTGAGACTACTGGATGTTACCAAAAGTGCCTAGAGGTTTTGCCCAAATTCAACATCTCAATGTGTTGAAACTCCTGAATTTCCCACCAACTTCGCTTGCCATTGCTTCCCTTGTGAAGAAAATTGAGTTTTGATGTGTACTAATCCACTTAGTGTAATGCCCTAATTCCCCACATTTCCTAAATAAAATGGTCACGTTCAATTTGTCATTATGGTTGCAAGTGAAAATTGTGTATAAAACCAAGTGAAAATTGTGTATAAAATAAGATGAAAAGCAACTGTCCCACTCTGGTCTTAACACTGTCATTTGTATAAAGATGTTTTACTTTAAAAATATCACAAAAGTTATTATATTATTTTTAATAGATATTTTAAAGTCTTAAATAACTTTTTTTTCAACGAATTCACTTGTTTTACCGGGTACAAGAGTTCAACTACAGATACATAAAGCGGAAAAAAAAAAACACCCTCTCCCTAAAAAAAATCATTCTTTTTCACGGTTCTAATGAATTCTAAGACTTGTCACCGATGATGACGAACATGGAGCGATATCTTGATTTGACACCATTCTCAACGAGAGTCTTGATATGCTCGTCTACTTTCTTCCTCGTAGTATTGTTGTGAGTTGTGAAAATTTTTATTTCCTTTTTTTTTATTTTTCTCTTTAAATATAAAATAATAACAACAATAAAAACCCATAATAATTCCTCTCACATTTTATTCTCAATAATTTACTGCTTTGTTAATAGCTAAAAATAAATTATTTGTATGGTTTATATTTTTATTATGCTCTTATTTGATAGGGGATTTGAGAGATGTGACGTGTGCATACCCCTCAAAATTTTCAAATATTACGTCATATTGTCTAAATATAAAAATAAAAAATAAAAATAATAACTCACGATAATTACACTAACATTTTATTGTAATAATTTATTATTTTATTAATACATAAAAATAAACCCTAAACCCTAAACAAAACCTTCAGAACAAAAAAATTTGTAATTTAAACAAATTAATTTAAGGAAGGAAAAAAATAAAATAAAATAAAAAAACCTCGTTCCATCTATTGTTCTGCAGCAATGGGTTCAATTTCAGCTTTCTCAGTCTGCTCCAAAATTGAACTTCCCGGACCCAAATTCTCAGGCTACAATGTCCGGCCATCGCCTAAATTTCGATTCACCATGTTTCGGAAGAATTACAACCCAACTTCCAAAAGCTTGATTCATTCAATTTCGAAACATTTCAATTCCCACATTCACGATGCTCCCTTCTCAAACCTCTCCGAGTCCGACAAACGTTGTTTTCCTGCACTCCAGAGGAATTCATCCAACTATTTCGTTGAAAAACTTGTGGGTTTTCTTGTTTGGTTATTTATCTTCATGGGTTGTTTCAATGTAAGACATGTCGTTGCATTACCTGCTCAGACAAGCGGCAAAAGCCCAACAATGGATGAGGATAGTGAAGAGGAGATGAGAGAGAGGATCTTGGAGCATGATTCAAGGAATATTGATACTCTGAAAGCTGTTTTGTATGGGAAAATGAGTAGCGGAAAGACAGAGGAGGCTATTAAGTATGTTCTGAGGCTGATTGATCTTGAGCCGGATGAGGTTGAATGGAGGCTTTTGTTGGCTCTTTGTTACGAGAAAATGGGAGAGCTGGAAATGGCTAAAGGATTGTTCGTGGAAATTTTGGAGAAGAACCCTCTCTTGGTTAGAGCTCTGCATGTAAGGTTTTTACTTGCTATTTATGTTTCTTTAGATTGGTAGCTATTGTTTATATGTTATTTGGTGCGAGTTAGAAGCTGGGAATTTTAGTGTACGTGCTTGAACTAAGATGTTATCAGTATACATAAACAATGTGATGTTTGACTTAGGGATTCTGTTGCCAAATTTGAACCCTGAATTGAATGAGGCTGGTTACTAATGAGATGAATTGTTATTATTGAAGGTAATGTTGCCAGTGACTCATATGAGAGCTGGTCATATGGTCTTTTACCTATTTCGATTCTCGGGTTAGTGAGCCGATGAATCAACCTCTCATAATAGATGGATTGGTCTTGGGTTCCTTCCACCATCCTACCCAATAATTCATAGGATTCGTTTTTCGGTAAAATATTATATATTCATGAGTTCCTTAGTTCCCATTGCCTCTTGATTAATTGTGAGATCCCACATCGATGGGAGAGGGGAATGAAGCATTCCTTACAAGGGTATGGAAACCGCTCCTTAGTAGACGCGTTTTAGAATCTTTGAGGGAAAACCCAAAAAGGACAATATTTGCTAGCGGTGGGCTTGGGTTGTTATAAATGGTACAAGAGCTAGACACCAAGCGACGTGCCAGCGAGAGGCTGAACTCAGAAGGGGGTGGACACCAGGCGGTGTGCCAGCGAGGATACTGGACTCCGAAGGGGGTGGATTGGGGGGTCCCACATCGATGGGAGAGGGGAACGAGTGCCGGCGAGAACGCTGGTCCTCAAGGGGGTAGATTGTGTCCAAAAAAAGACAATATCTGCTAGCGGAGGGCATGGGCTTGGTCTGTTACATTAACCGTTAGGTCTTTATTCTGCAATGGAGTCTTTAATCAAACTAAAATGGACTCCTGGTTTGTTTTTACTTAAAGTACATTCTGACATGTTTTGATATAAGGTACGTAATAAAAACTTGAGTATTGAGTATTGCCTTCCTAGCTTTCTAGCTGCAACGTCTTCTAGCGTTTCATAATTCATTGAAGAAGTGAGTTATGTCAATGCATAATTTGAATGCTTTGAACTTGCATTTTCTTCAGGGTCTGGCATTAGTGATGCATAAGAACAACGAAGGTCAATCTGTGTTTGAGATGCTCAATAAGGCTCTTGATATTGCTCGTGATCACAAAAAGGTTACCGAGCAGAGAAGCATTGGGATACTAATTGCTCAAATGCATGTTGTGAAGGTCACTTGTAACTTTTGACTGATAAGAATGCTTCCCACCTACTTCCATGTTCTATAAATTTTGAACCAATAACTTTTTTGATTCTCCGGAGTGTTGTCCAACAAAGTGTTTGTGTTTTTCAGGGAGAACTGGAGGAGGGCTTGAAGAAGTTTCAAGAACTTGTTGAGGAGAATCCTCGGGATTTTCGACCCTATCTTTGCCAGGTTATACCCGCCCCCTTTTATCTACATGTTTAATGCCCTAGCTTACTAGTAGATATTGTCTGCTTTGACCCGTTATGTATCGCCGTCAGCCTCATGGTTTAAAACGCGTATGTTAGGGAGAGGTTTCCATACCTTTATAAGAAATGCTTCGTTTCCCTCCCCTAACGAAGTGGGATCTCACAATCCACTCCCCTTAGGGGTTAGCGTCCTCGCTGACACACCGCTTGGGGTTTGACTCTGATACCATTTGTAGTAGCCCAAACCTACCGTTAGTAAATATTGTCCTCTTTGGGCTTTCCGTCAAGGTTTTAAAATGCATCTACTATGGAGAGGGTCTAGTCCTACTTCGACTAGTGTCTCACACCTTCAGGTGGCTGACTCTGAAACCATTTGTAACAGCCCAAGCCTACCACTAATCGATATTGTAACAACCCAGATTCATCGTTAGCAAATATTGTCTTCTTTGGGCTTTCTCGTTTTGGCTTCCCCTCAAGGCTTTAAAACGCGTCTACTAGGGGAAGATTTTCTACACCCTTATAGAGGGTGTTTTGTTCTCCTCCCCAACCAATGTGCGACATGACAGATATTGTCCGTTTTGACCTGTTACATATCGTCGTCAACCTCATGGTTTTAAAACGCATCTGCTAGGGAGAGGTTTCCACACTCCTATAAGGAATGCTTCATTCCCCTCTCCCATCGAGGTGGGATCTCACACATTTCATTCCTCAGTCGAAGAATCTGCACCTGATTGTTTATACATCGACATAACAAGTAGTCTAGTAAATGGTTGAATGTTAAACCGGGAGGGAAGACATGATTGGGAGAAGGATGAAATACTGAAATGATGGATATGTAACCATACCCAGTTCTTGCAGGGAATTATATACAGTCTACTGGACAGAAAAGAGGAAGCTGCAGAGCAGTTCGAGACGTATCGGGCTCTTGTGCCTGATGAGTTTCCTCAAAGGGAGTTTATGGACGATGTCATGTTGTCAGCTACAACTGCAACACGGGAACAGTTCCAGAAGGAATTTGATGCTGAATTTTCATACAAGAAGTGAACCAAACAAGAGAAGGGCACTCTGCCTATCAGTTTGGGAGTGTTCTTGAATGTGATAATATCAACACCAATGCACCCGATCTTATTAGAATTCTGTAGTTAAGCGTGCTTCGAGCATCCCGGGTGGACGCTCTAATAGTATTTATGTTGAGCCACTTTAAAACGTGTCGAGAGCGTGAAATCACAGTGTAATTGGAAAAATACATACTGAAAATGGAGTTTATTTTTCTAAGATTTTCAAACACTTCAATAGAAATCTCACACTGAAAATTAATAATTTAAATCGAAAAGTTTAATAAGAAGAATTGGATCCCGTAAATTCTTCCTGAATTCTCACCATGATACTCTTGAAATTAAATGGATTCGACATGTGAATATCATTTCACCTATCATCGTGGGTCACAGTAATAGTCCGGTGTTAATGTAGGTCAAGACATTAAAAGTCATGTTCGTCACTAAAAATTGTAGAGTCTGTTAGACGAACACGCCGAGGTGTGACTTTTATTATCCAACACCTCCCCTTAATCGAGGCTCGACTCTTTTTTCTTTTGGAGTCTTAGTCATTTTTTGCCAAACCTTCGAGGAGTCGAGGATTTACCAATCTATTGGCACAACTAAGTTTTAGGACATGACTCTGATACCATGTTAGACGAACATGACTCTCCGTAGTGGTATAATATTGTCCACTTTGAGCATAAGCTCTCATGACTTTGAGTTGGGCTTCTCAAAAGGCTTCATACAAACAGAGAGAGTATTCTTTGATTACAAACTCATAATTATTCTCTATATTAGTCGATGTGGGGTCAACCTTCGCTATTATGCCATATGACATAAAATAAAATTGAATACTTTAAATATATAAAGTAAAATGGTACAAAAATTTGAATTAAATGACAAATAATATTTTACAAAAAAAAAAAAAAAAAA